ATACTACATAATGTGATATACAATATAATATATTATATAATATATATAATATAACATATATCTTTTATTTTTATAAATCAGATTTAAAATCTTATTTTTGAATATGCAAATCATTTCAAGAGATTCATTCTGTGGATTTATATAATTGTCATTCTGAAGGCAATTAATTTTCTTTAAGGGGAATATCGGGGTAACGTTGGTCTTTATACCGAGACACGGTGCTTCTTATAATTCTTCACGACCCTATTCCCATTAACCATGGCTTTGTGTCTTAAGAGAAATCCTGGAATTCTGTGCGTTGTATCCGTACGCGAAACTTGCTGGCTTTGCGATTTGCGCAGAAAAAATTTCCAATATCGCGGTGAAAAGAATAAAAAAATTCCAGAACATTCCGGCGAAAAAACTTTGATGAATTTTTACGCTTATATGCTTTGACGTGGCTATTGCGAAAAGGATCTCGTAGTTCTCAGGATTTCACCATTCTGGAATTTCGTTAACGATTTTATTACATTTCCGATTTTAGTTGAAGGAATTTTTATTGGAATTAGGAGACAAAAATATCTTGAAAAATGGGACATTCGTTTCTCAGTTGGGATAAAAAACGAGAAAACTGCGAATCCTAACCTAAAATGTAAAATTATAATCCGCAGCGTGAACTTCAGGAAGCTGCAACCATTTCCTGGGAGCTATACGACCGTTGCGGATATGATAAATATTCGATATGCAAGAAAATTCTACGCATAAATGTATCAACTGCCGTTGAAATTTATTAAATGTCTAAATTATCTATAAAAATAATTTATATGACATTATATAATATGCAATATATAATATATGTTATATATTACATTTCATAAATTATGCATAACTGTCGACGCCATTGATATAGCATAAAATATAGCAACAGATACGTCGACGAATAATAATGGATTCATGCTACGTAATTCAATTTCATAATTTCTCTTAATAACTATCTATTCGCCTCACGCATATCAAAACGTTATTTGTAATCTATAACCTATTTTATTTCATACTCATACTGCAGGAAGTTTTATCAAATACCAACGCGAATTTTTATTCTTCAAAATAATACATCGTATATTGCAATATTATTAACGTTTCCCGCCTAACCAACACCACGCGAGTCAAAAGAAATATATTTTATTTTTCCTGTTATCTATTACGCTATTATACTTTATTCGTATACTATTATATTATCACCGAATCATTTATTTTCAATTAATTCCCGTATATTAAATTAAAATGAAATAATATAACGATGCATTATATTTCCCACTAATTAGCAAATGGATTCGTATTATAGAAAATTAACAGGTTTACATGACGCACGTAGTGAAAATAGCAATAAAAGTAGCCCCCTGGCGGATCACGCCTTAACTTTCAAATCTTTGACAATCGCGCGCTTTTGCCAACCGCCATGTTTAATTTTTAAACCGGACAACGCCTTTCGTTTAACCGTTCGTCATTCGCACAATGTCGTGGTTTCAAAATAAAGTAACACGCTTTGCATATCCTACGCACGTGGTCTTCGTTCCGGTAGGAACAATAACAAGCATGGTATTGGGAAGCAAACGATAGAGTGGAACGTGCTCACTTACCCGTTACAAAATACTGCGACGTCACACGCGTTGCTCCTTTCTCATCCTTTTTCCCACTAGACCAAACAGCCGAGTCCCTTCTTCTCTGGTCGAAAGGGAAAGGGATCGTGTCCGAGCAACGCGGTCGATCAGCAGGAGTCTCGATTCGAACAGGCCACCACACGAAATAAAGAAAACAGAAGGAACACACGCGACCGAAACTACGAGAAACTTCGAACGAGAAATATTACTTTTCACGGATCGTCGCGCAATAGAATCTCACGTTCCTCCTTTTGGTTCGTGTTTATACACGCACACGTTGTTTATCGCGCGCTTAAACCTACGGTCTACACAACACTTGTCACTTGGTCGACTGACGAGCCTCGACTGCCGCCCTGCTGCGAGGATCGCTTTACGCCATCCCCACTTACACGCTCTTCAACTGTAGCTTCACTGAATCTACCTATCCCTTCGTATCTCTGGGGTGAAAAAAACGACTATAAGCAACTCCTTTCTATTGTACATATAATAACATTATTTTTTCCAACAATTGTAGAAAGTATTGTTGAATTTTGTGAAACTTCATAAACGAATCGAGAATTATTTAACCTCTCGAAACTGTTTAATAAATTCATCTCATCCTACGTATTTACGTAGAAGGATAAATAAAACGAATACAAATTAAACCTTTCGTGGAATACTACGAAATAAATATATCAGAAGTTAGAATGTCCTACTTTCTTTAAACAAACATAAACAATAGAAATACACGACGGGAGGAAAAATGACGAACAAAATTGCAGTACGGAAAATAAAATAATTGCAGTGTCAATCACTGCGTAACTGGGTCACGTATTTGTCAAAAAATCATTCTCACGCAGAATTAATTATCTACGCGACAGAATCAATTCCGATTACGAATATAAGTAGTTTTTAAATGTAGAGGGAATAAAATACCCCTAATCTAAAAATTTTAATATTAAAAAACTGAAAATGTACTACTAAATTTTTAATTAATACTACTTTGGTCATATTGACATGGTGAGTTTTTTTTTTAATACATATACAATTAATTTTTCAATTATTCCATTCTTTTTAGGGTCTGTTTCTTTCGTTTTCTTCATTTACCTATAATTTGAACAATTATGGTGCGTTTAGTGTTATCTCAAGTTTTCTACGTACAAGTGGAGCAGAATTAAAACTAATATAAAATATTTAGCTACTTGACATGATTAATGACAAAATGTCTGGACCAGAATTTAAAGATCTATATGAAATATTAAAAATCTAAGTCAGTTTCGATTAATATGTCAAACGCAACCTGTGACGAAGTTGAATGAAAAATTGATCAATAGTCAATCACGATTACAATGAAGGGGAGCGTGCTTCCATTAACGAAATCGAGTTTCGATTTGGCAGAAACGACGTTTCTTTGGATACCGTCATTCGCGGAAACAATCCCGCAAATTGCCGAATATTAGCCGAAACGAGCGACATCCGACGGTTTTTCGATGATCGAGCGATTTCTTCGTCGCCATTCGTGCTCTCGTCATGCTCTGCGGTCGATAACGATCCATTCCGCAGGAAATCCATGGGCGCGTGCACATTTATGCGACGCATTCGCGGATGTCGCACTTTGAAACCGCAGACGGCTCGTTAAAACTTTCGTGTCGAATCGTTCTGCTCTGTGAAACGACTTTAATGCGGTTACGTTTGCCATAACTTTGCAAAACAATGATCATGTGTACAGGGTACGTATTACAATAGCCTTTTCCTCTTAAACCAACGGAAATATCAATTGAAATTTGTCCCCCCGTTCTTAAATTATACGGTACAGCGTGATAATTAATTCTTTGATGTGAAATAAATTTTCCTGGTTTCAAAAATTTATCATTTTCCAGGAAACTGAAAAACCATTCGCTAATAATTGCTTTCCTGGAACCAAAGTGCCACTGATTTATTAACTTTTTCACCTTCGTTATAAATTCATGCGTTGAGAAATTTGTTATTAATAATGAAATTAATAATTTGCACATTTATGTTAAAATATTCGAATTACTTGTCAAGAAGTAGAATATGATTATGATAAAAAACAATATAGGGTTAATTAAAAATCAGAAATTAGGGATACTCGTGGAATATATGAAAATTATATGCATTGCGATTAATTATTATAGTGCAAAATTAATAGTACATCGTTAATGCTAATTTTATATTACTGATTAATTGTTTGACAACGAATATTATTTATATATTAGTGATTTAGTGGTAACATTAATACTTTGAGTATCTCTTTTCAAACGATAATAACTATTTTTCAAATTATCTCAAAAACGTGAATTTTAAATCTATTGTACAAAGCTTCATAAAAATCTAGGTCTATACTGGGACCTAATCCTGCCTTACATAAAGTCTAAAAAATATATCTAAAATATACAACGGAAACAGAAGATCATAAACTATCTCGACGGATTTTAAAAATCAGAATTTATTGCTTATTATTTCGATAGAAAAGCTGAAAGATTATTGGCCCATTAGAGCATCACGTGAAAGGTATACAGAAAGAATTGGATGTCATCGAAGGGATGCTGCTTCCGAAAGAATTTCTTCCTTCCTCGAAAGCTGCTTATTTATCGAAAGCTTCCTCCTCGATCTCGAACCCTAAGAGGCACGAGCCAGAAGAAGAATTTCCACTTCTTTCTCGCGCACGTTTCACGAGAATTATCTACTTACTTTATTTGCTCTCAATACCCTCCTCCTTTATTCCCCTAGTTTCGTTTTCCCGACATTTCGGTGATAGAGAAATTTCAGTTAACCTCATCTGATATCGAACGTTCATAGCTTTTATTCGCGAAATCGAACGATCTTTCCCTTTAAATTCGAGCCTGAGTATTTACCTAACGAAAGAACGCTGGAAATAAATGGAAATAACGAACGTGAATCGAAAAATAACAAAAGATCCAAAGACAAGAAAACTTGGTAAAATACTTAACCAACGAACTTTTAACGCAAATAAATGATTCGTGTTTTCCAAAAATGACGCGATCGATTGTCACAAAAATCGACAATCCTGCGTTCACAACTGTATCAAATCCTTTTCGCAAAAATCCAGGAATAAAGCACGCGATTTTTCCAGTCACCAACCTGAGAAACACACGAACCTTTAATACCTTCATCCTTATTCTCAAAATTTCAAAAAAGAAATCGTCTTTTCTAAAAGTCCCAAAGATCTCATAGATACAGTGAAGTTATCTCAACAACCTAGCATCTTCCTCGATCTAGAGAGAAACCTAAAGCTACCATCCCTAATGAAGAGCCACCCTTCTTTCTCGTAGGATAACAGATTCACTAATTCGTCGTCGAAGTTGGTTCTTGAAATCAATTCGCCTTCCGGAAGTGCTTCTACTTCCGCCTGTACGCTGTAGGGTAGTCCGTGAGGATGCTGCCTGTGGAGAGAATAGCTCCAGGACCACCCAGGATCCCACCCTTGTTCGCCAGCCAGCCGTTTCCACCGAAAAACCCAGCTGGTTCCAGCCTGTTCGTGAAGAACCCTGAATCGTTCACGTCCGCAATTTGTAGCAAATTATTCGCGCTGCTCAGTTGCTTTGCCTTCGAAGTCGAGTCGTAATTCCTGAAACCGAGACTCTTCAGTGCTTGCTTGAGCTGGGTGACACGGTTCTGGATGGTCTGGGGGTTGAGCTGAAGATTCTGGGCCAATGGCGTGATGAACCAGGTGAGTAGGCTTGGTTTTGACGTGGTGGCCGTGTCAGACTGAAAATTGTTCAGGGTTTGAAGTGGTTTGTTGATTGGAACGACGGAATATAGTAATTAGAAGGAACTTAAAATAGGGTACAACCATTTGGAGTATAATGGATACAGAGATTGAAGAGTATGTTGAAGTTTTCTGAAGAAAACGTGTTGAATTAGTATTTCTGATTAGGGCAGACAGATTAGAGCATTGGAATATTAAACTACTTATATTTATATTTCAATTTTTACACCAAAGAATTCATGCTCGTTACCACTACTAATTATAATAGGAAAATTATTACTCAACTAATCGTTTGCAAGAAAAATTTAAATTTAATTTCGATTGATTTTAATAAAGATTCTTTGATTTTCTCTTACAATTTTGGATTGAAAATAAATTGTACGCTCATGTGGAATAAGAAATCTGATTATGGAGGAACTTTATGTCTTTGGGGGTTTTGGCTTTCGAATTAGGTCTGTCAGACCTAGAAAAAGTTAAGATATCCACCGTAAATCTCGAGAAGCTCATAAAGAACTTCTGTTAGACTCGTTTTATAGTCCACGTTATATAGAGCATAAAACGCGATTTATAGTACTTCAGGATGTATTTTGCTTTATTATTGCGTACAAGGGGTTGTAAAGCCGAGTGCTTTGTCAAGTATAGTTGCTCGGTCTTCCGATAATTCACCACGTTCCGTCCTTAAATCTATAATCCTCGTACGACCAATTATTACCTTCTGTACTTACACTCTGAGTTACGTCTTTTAAGGTTGACGTGACAATGGAACCCTCATCAATAATTTCTACTTCCGTCAGTTCTCCTTGCTTGATTTTGCTTGGCGAATCAGAGGTTTCATTTAGGGGCTTTGCACATGCCCCAGCTACCTGAAAATATATAGAAAATAAGTACGAGAATAATACAAAACAATATATACATATGTAACAAAATATTAAATTAGCATTATTAATAATACTTAACTCGAGCAATAATACAGATGACACTAATCTAATACCACTATATTAGAATATTAAAAAATTAATACTTAATAAACCTACTATAAAACTAGTAATAAATAAAATAAATAAAAGTACCATGTCAAACTATAAATATTGTAAAAATTATAGAAATTATAAAATTGTAAGAATAAGAATTGGATAACAAAGATAGATTTATCAAATTAAATTCTAATAACAGATTTTTCTTAATGTAATAAAATATGTAAAGTATAGAAATTTAATATTTAAATGTACCCAAAAAATATAAATAAATAAATAAATACAATGATTAGACGAATAATAAATAGAAAAATCATCGGAATATCTTACCAGCAAGATTAAGACCAAAATGGACGACATCGTTTCCAGGAGAATAGGTTTCTTGGACAGCCTGAACTTCCGTCAAGGGAAAATACGACCCAGAAACTCAGGCGAGTTTCCACGAAGCGCAATAATCGAAATGCAACTACGTGAAGCGTTGTCGCCACTCTGAGTCCCAATATATAGCGCTTTCCGTACACAGGATTCCCCTTATCGAATGGAGGTACCCTTATAACTCCCAGATAACAGCACGATTACTAAATTATACCTGGTTCACACACTGGAAACTTCGAACAGTCTTTCCCATCGTGTTTTAATATTTTAGACACGAGTTAATCCGTCGTTCGAAAAATCCTAGACAAGAGGAATTTTTGCAAACGATTTTATGCACAATTCCGTGCTTCATATTCCTATCATACATAATTATAAAATAAAAATTAGCCTGACAAAAATAAAATTTTATTCCACAAATGACGGTACTCTCGGCAAAGGAGGATGTTACGAAAAGGAAATTTTTGGCATGGCCTGGAAATGAAAAATTCCTTCACTAATTCTGCCAGAGATACCTATATATTTTCATTAATTACAAAATCCTTTATTTTTATGAATTTGCTACTTCCAACCTTAATTACAATTATAGTCCACTCAAATCTGCTCGGATTTAAATTTATTTGATTAAAGTATGATTTTTGGTCCAATTTTGCTGCTATATCTGTATGAGAAATGGGATTAGGTCGACATTTACTTAACTCGTCTTTTGTTATCTGTACAGTACCCAGTAGCTGAGGAGCGTTTGTAATCAAAAAGTGAAACTCAACTTCCTCCTCCCTTTCGTAATACACGATTCGACTTGTTACATCTCTTCCTCGTTGCCAAACGAGCTTCATTCACTGGAGCGAACCGTAATTCCCTGAATCGGATGAATATTTAGTGAAGTGAAAATTTGGGTGCTTGGTAAAAGTTCGTTGAGATAAATTCCAAGAATAGCAATCCGCGTGATCCTCCAAACGTGGGTGGTGTGATTTATCTCAAAGCTAGCCTGGTATTTCTTCCTCGACTAATTAATATTCCCAAGCATTCTTAAGCACGATAGCGACTACCTCAACATTAAATACGGATCAGTAAGAAGCTGCGAAAACCTAAAGCCAATCAGGATATAATTTCTACAGGAAAATAATTCGAAATTTTATCATGAAAATTTGAAGAAGAGTTTCATCAATTTCTTCTTATTATAAAAATTATTTGTTATTTAAATATAGCTTATTATTCCCATACGATTTGACATGAAGAATGATTTATGAGTGATACTGCAAAATTTCTAATAGAAGAAAGAAATTAATTTTATTAGTTATTTGCGTTGTTTGCACGGCGATATTTAAATAAAAATTCTAGAAATTCTTCGACCACAGTCTATTCAGGGTTTCCAGAAGGGATACCGAGAAAAACACGTGTCGAGAACCGGTCGGCCTTTTTCCGATTGCGATCAATCGAGATCCATAACCGAATCACCTTGAAAACGCAGTCATCGAACAGGGTCCGCCGGTTCTCGTTCCTTTTTCCCTACTTCTCCGTGAAATCGTCACGACGGCCTTGTGCAAGGTCGCAACCTTCCGAGAATGAAAGTCCCGATCATTGGATTGTTCTCCGTGATTCACTTTCGCTCGAACACGTTCTATGGGCACCTGGAGGGTGTCGAGATAAGTCGTCGAGATAAGTCGTCGAGTATCGAGAAAGGGGGAAAAAATTAAGCTTCGAGTACTCAAGGTCGTGGAAAGTGTACGCGATCAAGGACATCAAGCCTCGGAAGGAGAAATTATTTTTATTTTATTTTTTTAATAAACGAATTTTTAGAACTAGTAATGGAACTTGAAAAGGAGGTATCTGTGAGGCTATAGCCTGGATAGAATTAGTTGGTGCTTAAGGCCGCTCCCCCCACCACCTTCCGAGCTTCCCAGGGAATTGCAATGTAAGGTTTGTAGCTGTAGTTTTCAGCTCAATTTTCTATTTTTTAATGTATAGGGTGTAATATCTAATTTGACACAATGAAGAGTCCTACAGAAGGCTGTTATAAAAAAAAAAGAATATATTTTTTAAATATATTTTAGTATAGAAGAGAAAAATACTAGATACTGAACAATATGCATTTCCTAACCTCACATAACCCAAAGCATAACAAAACAAAAATTAGAACAGAAGACACATAGCAATTAGGACACACTCAATCTACCCCAGTACAAACAAAACAGGAAAGAAAAATCCTATAAATCGCAATGAAGCTAAATAAATCATAAGACACACAATAAAACGAACGTATCGCCGGGGAACAAAGAAATTAGAACAAAACTCGCATAACAATTGGAACACACCCAAGGCTCACAGGTGCCGCCCAGCGCGAGTCATCGTTCGCCATAAACCGGAAATAAGCGATCGCTCCCCGCCGCTGCATAGCGGAAAACTGAACTCGGTTCACGGACACTCGCCGCATACCGATCGCAACTTAATTCAAGTGTCACGCGTCCGCTTTCGCGAACGAGCCTGGGACCTCTCGTTTCTTCCTCCTTGATTAACACCTCGGCTCGTTTGCCAGCTTAGAATGTACGTGTGCGACGCTGGAACCGTTACCAGCCTTTTCGAGACCAGTCCCACGGCGACACTCGGCAGGGAACCTTGATCCACGCGAGGAAAATCGACGAACCGGACGACTAAGCTCCAGCCTGGACCGGTTCGATCCTCCAGTCGCGATTCGGCCACGATCTCACGCGGACTAGTCGCTTTCCTCGCCGAAACGAGACACGACGAGATGCTACCCTGAGACACGTCATCGCAGTGACTTCCTTCGAAATTCGTTCTTTGGAATCCAAGAACCTTGGTCGAGGTTTGAGGAGAAGAATCTTTGTCTTGGAACGAGGAGGAGAATTTTTTGGAAGCTTGCTTAGAGTGGACTGAGCTTCGTGGACTTAGAGCTTGAGAGTTTGGGTCAGGATGAAAGCTGTTTGGTGCTTGTTGGTAGTTCTACTGTCTCGACAGGTGAGATCTTTGTTGTTGTAGTCTATGAACAGGGTGTTAGTGTGTGCACCAAGGGAACAGTGTTTGGTGCGATGATGGAAGAGGAACTAGGGGTACTTAAGGGCCTCACAGGTTGGGGAGAAGCGTTTGCAACGGAGGTTGAGGTTATGTGGGCCCGATAACGTAAGAGTCACTTTTTCTAAAGTAAGAAATCAGATAGAATATGATCAAGGATTTTTATGTTAATTTAATTAATTTTGTTGCTAATATTAAATTTCCATTTTTAAATAAAACTCCTACCCATCGGTTAAAATTTAAATACTCCCACAGTTAATATCAAAAGCTTTCTCTTTACCTCCCTTTGGATCATCATTGGCTATTCCATTAGATACTGCGCCATTTTCCATTTTCCAAAAACTAACTCTCCAGGTCCGGTAAGAAAGGGAAAAAGAAAGTTATTTATTTGGACGCAGATAAAAGGTCGAGTTTTAATTAACTCCCGCAGAAGTTGCACCGGAGCTTAAGCTGCACCTCGTGTCGTTTCTCTGTTCCCAAGAATCGTGTCTGACGATTTTCTGGCGCCGGAACTTCTCTCGGTATTCTCTCCCTTAATTATCCCACTAAGTAACCATGGAGACGTCAGTTCCGTTCGAGACATCGTTTGCAGATACATTTTCGCGAGTTTCTGTGATCATTAAAGGACGAGTCATTTGGCTGTCCAAGATTCCTATTAATCCTTTGTGGAACTTGGAGCTTAATGGCACAAATGTATATAATCGTACGTTCTTTGCCTTTTACTGTACTTTTGCAGTACATATATATCTTGCAATTTATTTATTTATTATTTTTAATCTTACTATTTATTTATTTATTTATTTTTAATCCTTGAAGTTTCATTGCTTTCATATTACGATGCTTAATTTTACTTTAATTTTTATTTTTATTAATCACGGTTATGGCAATATCGAACAATATTGAATTACTGCGAAAATTCCTAGTGAAATTTGAGAAAAATTCACGAGCAAAATTATATAGAATTATAATTTTATGCACAAAATGTTTCAAGAATATCAAAGAAATTTTAAGATCAGAATACACGGCTATGACAACTTACGACAATTATAATTCGTTGCTGCAGGCTATCTGTGGGATAATTAGAAACCCACCAGCCTTTTCGAAGCCAGTTTACTTGGACTCGTATCTCCCAGCAGCCATGCAGGTACGTGCATGATTAATAATTATACCACCAAGAAAATTTCAATAAAACAGATTTCTATAAAACAGGAATATAGTTACTCATTTGCATACTAATGTGAAACTAAATTAATACATTTCCACGAGATTCGTACTTTCACTTTGACTTTAACTTTCACTTTGACCATAATTTTTATGCTTAGTCAGTGATAATGACAAGACAGAATCTACTGCAATCATCTCCCAAATTTTTTTAGTTTGTTAAACAAAACGATTTTGCATAAGAAAATCAGCCTTCTAATAGCACTATTCAAAATAAAATGTATGAAAGCGAGCAAATTTATCCTGCTAACGTCAAAAATCCACGATCACCGAATCAAAAAAATATTTTTCTAAACCACCAGGTGATTTTCCACGCCGTCGAGCAGCTGAAACTTCTCCAATCAGAAGAATCTACCTCGAGCTCCACGACTATAGCCAACGCACCAACATCACCCATCACACCTCAGAATCAACAACCAACTACTCCAGGATCTTCGACAGTAGTCATACTCTCAGAGGAGTCCACAGTTAAAGAAGAAACATCCACACCAGGAAACCTATCAACCCAAACAGAGGTACCAGCACCATCAGAAACCTCCAATAACAAAACAGAGGAATCAGAGGAATCCAGAGTCGAAGTGACCAGCCAATCAGACGAAACGACTCTGCCCAGTACACCTGTCGACAAAACTGAAGAGTCCAAACTCCAAACGACACCGAGCAATCAAGCAGACCAGTCAAAGCTAGACGAAGAACCTGTCAACAAAGTAGACCAGTCCAACTCGCAAGAATCGTCAGAGAACAAGGGAGAAGACTGGAAATTCGAAGAACCATCCAACCTAGACACCACACCGAGCAACCAACCAGACCAAACCTACACAGACGTGTCCTCCATCAGCAACCTAGACGAATCGAAGCCACAAGAACCGATCCAACAGCAAGAAGAGGAGTTCGAGCTTGAAGAATCCTCGTTAGACAATGCACAGGTTACCCTGGCTGATGCACAGGTACCCGGGATTGACCAAGGATCGATCCAGCATGTCTCCATGCAACAAGAGTCGCCAGAGGTGAACGAAGAGATGCCAGAAACGAACTACGCGACACCTGAGACGAATTACGAGGAACCGGAAGCCGTGCACGCGGTGCAAGAAACGAACGAAGAAGTCCCGGAAGAGAATCACGAATGGGTCTTCTCGACTCTGACGGAGACCACAGCGTCCGATAATCCTCTGCATCCGTCCACCAGTCATGGATCGATCGTGGACTACCCTGACAGGAGGAAAGAGCCGACTGTCGATAGCGTGGTCCAAGGTGTCTACCAGATCCTGAAACCCACACCCTCGAAATTCGTGGACGAGGGCGCGGAGATTCTGGAGGAGATGAAAAGCGTCATGGGAGACTCCGCGGAGAAAACGGAGAGCGTGGAAGAGGAACAGGACGAAACTAGGTGAAGTCTCTCTGTTGGAAAGTTGATTTTTTCCTTTAGCAGGCCGTTGGATGAAGAGGGTGATCATCCTCGAGGATTTGCCGAGGGTTTCTCGAGGGTTTGTTTGATGGGGTTGTTTCTGCTTACGGGCTGTTAGAAAGATGTAGTTTGAAAAATTACTCCACCGGTCTGAATGTGACGTTATCTCACACAGGGTGTCTCGAATGTTCCGAATTTAACATTCATTGGGAAAATTTTGATTTTATTCGTAGATTTCTTCTTATTATTTATTTAATATTTGTACATGACCATCGAAAATAAGTACCACAGTGAAAATTAATATTTTAATGTCAAATATTAGGATGACAAATATTGATCTTCGTCATCTTAATGTTTCTTATATAATTAAAAATTATGGAAATTTTTATCTTAATATCGGATATTAAAGTAAAAAAATTTATCTTTGCAATGGTATCATAACTTGGGTGAAAATAGAGGATCTATTTTAACATGGTCAACATGGATTCCCAAAATTTGTCACAAGTTTGCAAATTTTAAAACAATGCAGAATAAAATTTAATTTAATATTTAACTTAAATTTAATTTAATTTGTCCAGAAATTAAACTTAAAAAAATGGACGAAATGCAAAAAAAATGTTTTTGCAACTATCCAAACCATCCACCATTGCCAAAATTCCCAAGATTGCGTTGACAATTTTTGAAGAGTACCTTGAACATTCGAATTCCGATTTAAAAATCGCTATGGAAATTAGTATATACCGAGGAACGTGAAGCTGCGTGTTGTATCCGGGATTGTGTTTATAGATTCGATAAGTACCCATTCGGGTTTAAAGTTCGCTCTGGCAAACTTTCTGCAGAATAAACAGAGTTTAATGCGCCAGCCGCAACAAGGATATCACTCTTCGGCATTAGGTTCGAGGAATCGATTCGAGCCTGGCCTGGGAACTTTGCCTAACCGAACGTAGACACGTACAATACAACCCTAGTTACCTCTAGTACAAATGCTACTGGTTATGAGAGTAAAAGATCTATCCTAAATGGAAAATGTAAATTCAATTTATCCTGATATCTCCAAAACTTCCACTAAATAATCCGATTAAGCAATTTACTGCTCCCTTTGCTCTCCCAAACTTCGATGGTATCTCAAGAGTGCCAGAACTTCTTGACTTCAGGCTAAAATATGGAGAAGGAGTTTAATTAAATTGGTTAGCAAAAATTCAAACGTCGGATCGGAAAATAAATTCGATTTTTCCAACAAGGGGAAAGAATCTAACCCTTAATTCAATTTAACCCTTAATTTGTACTTCAGTCATGACGTCAGTCAAGTTTGAAGTTTCGTTCAAAAGATATTGGAACGAAAAAGTAAAAAGCGAGTTCACGAAGAAGATACGTTACCAAAATTCGCCTAATCTAGTGGACTTTCTAATTTTTCCACGATTCCTGTGCAGATTCACTCGTTTAGGCGAGAGAGTGACGCAAGTGCCAAGGCCAAGCCTAACCAGTTACCTCAGACGATCGAAGGTGCCACCGAATGCCACTCTTCAGCAGCTGGCGAACCTGTACGACTCGTTGAGCAAGGACGCGAGGAAGCAGGGGTTCGGCAAGTACACCGGCTACTCGAACGAAGTCCTGGACACCCTGGAAAGTTCGGCCGAGGGTGGGATTGGACCGCAGCTGAAGAAGATCCTGTCCAAGGTGCTGGAACGCAACGAGCTGACGAGGGATGACGCGAGAACGAGGACTTCGCAAACTGTTCGAGACCTGGACAACCCTTCGAGCATCCTCAGCAAGGAACTGAGACCCCTGTTGCCTCTGCGATACTCCCCGTAACCCTGGGTGTCGAGGCAACATGTCGCTGTGTCTATGGGTGATTAATCGTCCCCATACGTGCAGTTAACCCTCTGTAACTGGAATACCACTTGGTACGTGACAATCGGAGTAAACGTTACGATCTGTCAGAGGTTTCTAAGAAATTTCTTAACGAAGTAGAAATTATCCTTAACACTTTGTTCACCGGCAATTTTACACAGAAACTATGTCATGTCACCGGCTATTATTTCGTAATCCAATCTTCAAAATCGCTTTCACACGCGATATTCTATGTCGCCCTGGGTTTCATAAATTGAAATAGGTAATGCAAGTGCAATGACGAGTTAACTCGTCGTTGGTCAACAACGTTTGGACAGGAAAGGACGAGTTAACTCGTCACCGGTCAACAATGTGTTAATAATAAAATGAAAAGTAGCTTTAGAAATAAAATTTAAGAAATTTGTTTTGAATATGGGAAATTAGGCATTGTACGAATACTATGGTGCTGGGATTTTGAAAAATTGAAAAACTGGGGTTGGTGAATTTGGTTTGTATATGGGTCGTGTATGGGCTTGCTGAGAAACGTTGTGAAAGAAAATAATTATACCTATCTTCTATTTCCTTTTATATATACAGGGTGTCCCAGAAACAGTAGTACAATCGGGATATGCAGAAACGAATCGATTATTTAATTATTCTTAATAAAAAAATTAAAAGTAGCTTTAGAGATAAAATTTAAGAAATTTGTTTTGAATATGGGAAATTAGGCGTTGTACGAATACTATGGTGCTGGGATTTTGAAAAATTGAAGAACTGGGGTTGGTGAATTTGGTTTGTATATGGGTCGTGTATGGGCTTGCTGAGAAATGTTGGGAAAGAAAATAATTATACCTATCTTCTATTTCCTTTTATGCATACAGGGTGTCCCAGTAACAGTAGTACAATAGGGATATGCAGAAACGAATCGAGAAAAAGGAATAACATTTTTTGATTCGAAGAATTTTGGTTTTCGAGAAAATCGACTTTGAATTTTATTCCTTTTCTTACGAATTATTAATGGGGGGAGGGGGGTAGAACCGCCACCACAGTTGTACTACCCTTACTGAGACATCCTGTATATTGAAATTAAAAATTGGGTGAAAGGGTAATTTTTGATATATCAAGAAACAAGTATTTTTAGAATATCTTGTATGGGGTCTAATTTTAATTTTAATCTGCGTATCTTGGGAGATAAAGAATATATGAACATTTGCAAATTGTATTTTTATTTCTGTCAGTAATTGTACGTAATTTTATTCGAGGTTCTATTTTAATTAAAAATCGGGGAATCGATAATCATTTTGAATAGCTTCAACTATGCATAGAAAAAAGATTTAGAAATATAAAAAAATAATAATGTAAGTTTTGAATTATGTTACGGAGGGTTCATTTGAATTTGTTGTTTCTCTTGTATAAACCGTTGATAAATATGATGTAGTTCCTATGGGCTCGCATTCGACTGTGAGCGGCTGAAATTGGAAATTCTTGCGTGTTTTGATATGTAAATCAGTTTGGAAACGTTAGCTGAATTTCGTACTGAAATTTGAATTATTCCCCGTTAAAGCATTGACGTCAAACGATATAATTAAAATTGTCTCTGCATACCTAATGCCGAATAAAATTTTTTACAACGTTCAATAGTCCTTCAATGACCTTGCGAAGCTTTCAACTAACCTTGAATGATTATTAAATAATCTTGTATAATAACCTTAAGAAATTTTTAAAATGACTTTCAAAAATCTTCGAAATAACCTTGAGTGCCCTTTTAATTATGGTACCTTCGAGTGACCACCTTGAATGATCATTAAATAACCTTGTATAATAACCTTAAGAAATTTTTAAAATGACTTTCAAAAATCTTCGAAATAACCTTGAGTGCCCTTTTAATTATGGTACCTTCGAGTGACCACCTTGAATGATCATTAAATAACCTTGTATAATAACCTTAAGAAATTTTTAAAATGACTTTCAAAAATCTTCGAAATAACCTTGAGTGCCCTTTTAATTATGGTACCTTCGAGTGACCACCTTGAATGATCATTAAATAACCTTGTATAATAACCTTAAGAAATTTTTAAAATGACTTTCAAAAATCTTCGAAATAACCTTGAGTGCCCTTTTAATTATGGTACCTTCGAGTGACCACCTTGAATGATCATTAAATAACCTTGTATAATAACCTTAAGAAATTTTTAAAATGACTTTCAAAAATCTTCGAAATAACCTTGAGTGCCCTTTTAATTATGGTACCTTCGAGTGACCACCTTGAATGATCATTAAATAACCTTGTATAATAACCTTAAGAAATTTTTAAAATGACTTTCAAAAATCTTCGAAATAACCTTGAGTGCCCTTTTAATTATGGTACCTTCGAGTGACCACCTTGAATGATCATTAAATAACCTTGTATAATAACCTTAAGAAATTTTTAAAATGACTTTCAAAAATCTTCGAAATAACCTTGAGTGCCCTTTTAATTATGGTACCTTCGAGTGACCACCTTGAATGATCATTAAATAACCTTGTATAATAACCTTAAGAAATTTTTAAAATGACTTTCAAAAATCTTCGAAATAACCTTGAGTGCCCTTTTAATTATGGTACCTTCGAGTGACCACCTTGAATGATCATTAAATAACCTTGTATAATAACCTTAAGAAATTTTTAAAATGACTTTCAAAAATCTTCGAAATAACCTTGAGTGCCCTTTTAATTATGGTACCTTCGAGTGACCACCTTGAATGATCATTAAATAACCTTGTATAATAACCTTAAGAAATTTTTAAAATGACTTTCAAAAATCTTCGAAATAACCTTGAGTGCCCTTTTAATTATGGTACCTTCGAGTGACCACCTTGAATGATCATTAAATAACCTTGTATAATAACCTTAAGAAATTTTTAAAATGACTTTCAAAAATCTTCGAAATAACCTTGAGTGCCCTTTTAATTATGGTACCTTCGAGTGACCACCTTGAATGATCATTAAATAACCTTGTATAATAACCTTAAGAAATTTTTAAAATGACTTTCAAAAATCTTCGAAATAACCTTGAGTGCCCTTTTAATTATGGTACCTTCGAGTGACCACCTTGAATGATCATTAAATAACCTTGTATAATAACCTTAAGAAATTTTTAAAATGACTTTCAAAAATCTTCGAAATAACCTTGAGTGCCCTTTTAATTATGGTACCTTCGAGTGACCACCTTGAATGATCATTAAATAACCTTGTATAATAACCTTAAGAAATTTTTAAAATGACTTTCAAAAATCTTCGAAATAACCTTGAGTGCCCTTTTAATTATGGTACCTTCGAGTGACCACCTTGAATGATCATTAAATAACCTTGTATAATAACCTTAAGAAATTTTTAAAATGACTTTCAAAAATCTTCGAAATAACCTTGAGTGCCCTTTTAATTATGGTACCTTCGAGTGACCACCTTGAATGATCATTAAATAACCTTGTATAATAACCTTAAGAAATTTTTAAAATGACTTTCAAAAATCTTCGAAATAACCTTGAGTGCCCTTTTAATTATGGTACCTTCGAGTGACCACCTTGAATGATCATTAAATAACCTTGTATAATAACCTTAAGAAATTTTTAAAATGACTTTCAAAAATCTTCGAAATAACCTTGAGTGCCCTTTTAATTATGGTACCTTCGAGTGACCACCTTGAATGATCATTAAATAACCTTGTATAATAACCTTAAGAAATTTTTAAAATGACTTTCAAAAATCTTCGAAATAACCTTGAGTGCCCTTTTAATTATGGTACCTTCGAGTGACCACCTTGAATGATCATTAAATAACCTTATATAATAACTTTAAGAAATTTTTAAAATGACTTTCAAAAATCTTCGAAATAACCTTGAGTGCCCTTTTAATTACAGTACCTTCGAGTGACCACCTTGAATGATCATTAAATAACCTTGTATAATAACCTTAAGAAATTTTTAAAATGACTTTCAAAAATCTTCGAAATAACCTTGAGTGCCCTTTTAATTACAGTACCTTCGAGTGACCTTGTGTGACTATCGAATGACTATCATGTGACCTTCCTATGGTGCCTTAGAAAGCTTTCGAATACTTTAAAATAATTTTCAAATAATTGTGATTTCGGTGGTTTATCGCTCGTTTGGAGGTCTAACAGAGAACCACAGGATCCTGTGCGATGAGTCAATAATTCTGAATACAATGAAGTTGATTCATTCCCGACTTTTTGGTAATGTTCGACATTGAGTCATTCGTTTTCATAGTAATACTAAGCTTGAAACCAAATTCGATCTAATACACGACTCAACATCAAGATCAAAACTTATATAAAATTTATAAAAATGTTTATAGACTACAAATAACAGGCTCGACGAATCTAAATCATCAAAACACACCCTATTTTCAATCACAAGATATACAGAAACACGAAATCAACACACAAATCCAATTTCAAACAATATACTCCAATCAAACAAAACTATAATAAAATTCAGATCCATCTAAAATTTCAATTAAATTAATAAAACTAAATTTAAATACTAGATACTTCTAAAATCACTTTCTATAAATAAGAAAGAATATTATATAATTTTAAATCACAAACTACATATACACTCTAAATTAAATTACAACACAATCCTAATTCAGGCCAATCAATCTCAAACAATGTTCTCCAATCAAACACAACCATTATTAAAATTTAAATCCACATGGAACCTAAACCAAGGCACACCTCAACTCACATTCTAATATTCAGAACACTCAGTGATTTTCAATCACAAAATACACATATACGATAAACTAAATTACAACACAATCCTAATTCAGGCCAACTAATTTCAAACATTCTGCAATCAAACACAACCATTATTAAAATTCAAATCCACATGGAACCTAAACCAAGGCACACCTCAACTCACATTCTAATATTCGAAACACACAGTGATTTTCAATCACAAAATACACATACAGGATAAATTAAATTACAACACAATCCTAATTCAGGCCAGCCAATCTCCACATATATTCTCCAACCAAATACAACCATTATTAAAACTCAAATTCATATAAATTTTAAACCTAAGTATATGCAAATCCACATTCTAATATTCGAAACACAGTGATTTTCAATCACAAAATATATATACACTCTAAATTAAATTGCAACACAATCCTAATTCAGGCCAACCAATCTCAGACAATGTTCTCCAATCAAATACAACCAATATAAAAAAAATTCAAATTCATATAAAATTTAAACCTAAGTATATCCAAGTCCACATTCTAGTATTCGAAACACACGGTGATTTTCAATCACAAAATACACACACACACTAAACTAAATTACAACATAATCCTAATTCAGGTCAACCAATCTCTACATATATCCCCCAACCAAATACATTCATTATTAAAATTCAAATTCATATAAAATTTAAACCTAAGTATATCCAAGTCCACACTTTAGTATTCGAAACACACAGTGATTTTCAATCACAAAATACACACACACGCTAAACCAAATTACAACACAATCTTAATTCAGGTCAACCGATCTCAAACATTCTCCAATCAAACACAATCATTATTAAAATTCAAATCCACATAAATCCCGAACCTAGTTACTCTTAACTGTTCAACGCTTCACCTTTCAATACCATTCATCACCAAGAAGACACCGCAAATTTTTCCAATCCAAGCCTTGACCCGCGGCACGATATTGTTTATTGCTCGAACAATATGAGCTGGCAGTGCCCGCGAAGCGGAGATACGTGCGTCGAATAGCGATCTCCGTTGGGCAACACAGTGTCAATGGTTTGTCCCGGAGGCAGAGGCGCGGACAGAAGACAATAGGGTCGCTGGTACGATCGAATTAGACGCATCGAGACGCTACGCCGCTGCATTGCACGCTGGTATAAATGGATTTTGAAATCAATGGTCCTTCAGTCGTTGCCTCGCCTTCGACGAAAGGAATCGTCGAAAGGGAACCAGTGATCCGCTTCAGAACACCATGAAGATTCTACTCTTCGGATTTTGCCTTGTTTGCGTGAGTAGAAATTTGTTAAAAAAGGAAAAACGAGAAGAGTAATATTCGTGTAGAATTAATTTGAAATTAGAGCAAACGAATTGGAATTTGTTGGATTTAATCGAGCGTGAAATTCAAAGGGTGGAATGTTGCAGGGATGAAAGAGACCGGGATTTTCTCTTTTTTTCGTTTTGGAAGTTACCAAGTCCGAAGGTTTCGTTTCATCGAAGAGACCTGTAATTGTTCCGCTGATTTCGACAAGGATTTAATTTCCGGACGGTGCGCTCGATTAAAGTAACGAAAGTGGTGGAAGGAGTTCAAAGGGAAAAACGAGGGGGTGACAAACTGTTGCAGCCCACCCTTCGTTTAATCACCGCGTCTTCCTTACTTGCGTCACGACGAAGTTCTTATTTATATTTTTACTCGGCAGTCTGTGTAATCCCTCCGAGGAACTTCGTCGAGTTGAAATTTTCCAAACTTTCGGACGTTATCGGCAATTTTCAAAAGTTCCCTAACTTCGCCAATAATCCCTTGAAAAAATTCCCCCGAGCTTCGGCTTTTAATAATCTATTATAATTATACTTCTGTGAATACCATATAAGTATACTAAATTTTGTCAATCTTCCAAAACTCAAAAAAAAAATATATATATATACCTACTCTTAAGAAAATACTCAATTTCGTAGTATTACAAATTCTCTGTTTAGATGAACTGAAAAATTATTAATCTAACTGGATTTTCTGCTACTTTGCAAAAATAATTTTACACCGCTTTAATGTAAATTTATACAACATAAAATTAGACTTTAAAGTTCGCCCACATTCATAATTACCGACATGTATATTTATATTTCAGTTTCTCCCATAATATAAAAGAAAAAAAGAAATATAAAAATCTGTCTATTAATAGTGATAATAAGAATACATATAATAATATCCAATTATCATATGTGCAACAACAATAGCCCTAAACACATTGAAGAAACGCATCAAAGAATTACGACTACACGAAGAAATTATAAATAAAATACAACATAGAGTCACATTACAAACACGTAGAATCACCCACGAATTTCTCCAGTACCCATAAATACCAAGCTTGGTACATACTCGTATGTACAATAAATACCAATACACGCTAATATAAACACAAATATTAATAATAATAATAATAACATACGTATTATACATACAAGCAATGTGTGTACCCAAAACATTGTGTAATACATATTATATACATCTATTATTATTATTACTATCATTATTACTACAAAATATAGCATCGGATATATATTTCAGCTCTCCATGTCGAGAGTGCAATCGAAGCCACAGACCACGAAGCTGTTCCCAATCCCAGAAGAAACGAGCAATCCTCCAGAAGAGGCCAGCAGCGAGGCGAAGCCTCTGGACAGGCTGCTGGGAAAATTGCGAGCCACGTACAACTTCGTGTTTCGAAAGCCGGAGAACACGAGCAACGTGGAGAAAATTTTGGCCAAGGACAAGCCCGACCCAGACGTGGAGGCGCTTAAACTGATCTGGTCCAATCGAATGCAGCAGAGCTTGGTGGACAGGGAAGCGTCGAAGAAGTCGCAACCCAAGGGAACCTATTTAAAGGTACAGGATGACTGGGTGAACGATGTTCAGCCCTTAGAGCGTTTGGAGCCTTTGGAACCGTTGGAACTGGAAGACGAGGTGGAAGTTGACAAGGATCGAGACGTGGAGATCATTACACCGAGGACCACCTTCCAGTTTCCGGTCACCCTCAGCCGCCATCTTGTCGATTGGATCGGATCGCTCCTGGGGATCACTTATGGCGTGTACTCCAAGCTGTCCAGAATTGTTAATACCAATCACACTGCAATACGTGTTAAATGATTATGGCAAATGGCTTTTCTACTATATTTGGATACTTTTTTATGTATTAGATAAGAAAATAAAATAAGGGTAAACAAGCAAGGAAGTGGAATACAGATGACTCCATTATAACCAATCACTATGATCAATCCAATAAAAATACGGATAAGTACTTTAATTAAGGTATGAATAATTACGTACAAAATTTAGAATGAACAGGGAACAAGTTGGCAAAAGGAAGACCATTTAAATAATTTTAAATGCGTATTGTGCGTTCGAGGAAAGAAGGCACAGCGTGTTTACATCCTCACTGACTGACTGATTAACCCCGCTGATACTGCTTTAATCACAGGCAGTGGTCGCTATTTACTGAAAACGGTGACCAATGTGCAACCATCTTCAGATATAGCAGTCACTGCCTATGATGATGAGGGTGACAGCGGAATTAATCAGCTAGCTCTGAGAATATAAACACGTTATGCCTTCTTTACCCGAACGCACTATACAATAAGGAGCATATTTAATCGAAAAGAAGTGAATAATCGGGAATCAACTGTGGTAGATATGTATACAGACAGTACGAGTGAACGATGGTTTTCTTTACACTTATTTTATTCAAAAATATCTTGGTCTGAAAAATACATGTGTTACCTCTTATCCATTCTTCTTCTTATTATTTCTTTCTTATTTTTGTTTTTTTCTTTTTTCTTTTTTTGGCAATCATTGTATTATACATAACAATCGCTCGTCGAGTAACACCTTGTTGCAAATGCGTGTCTATTGTTAAAATACTTCATCATTGTTTATCGTCTTGCGTATCATGCCCACGGAAATGGCCACAAGCGTGAACATGGATACCTTACATACTACTTAATTAAACTTTACTGGAAAGATCAGCGCTGCTTCCTTAACCCAGGTCAGTGGTGCAATTCTATGGACAGGTTTCTCAGTGGATCAGTTTTCTTACGAATCATTTTAGCAGGTAGAAATCCAGCAGAGCTTAGGGGACCATTCGATTGCCACTGCACCGGGGTCAAGAGAGGCAGGAAGTTGAAAGAAGTTCAGGAGGAAGAGACAAAATACTGCTATTCTCACGAATATTCAAAAGTCTTTGGTTCTATTATAACGCGGTATGAGTCTTATCTTTAGTGCCATCCGCAGTTATCCACTCTAATCTCGTGTACGTCTAGCAGACATTCCAAAGGTGTTAGTCATAATTAAATCTAATCACAAGTTCCAAAATCTACAGCACGTGGTAGCATTTAGAAGCATTATTCCACGGTAGAAGTCCGGCAGATTGTCAAAAAATCGCTGTCAAAATATGCTCGAGACTCTTCAGCAAATAACGAAGAAAAAAGAAGGAAAATTAAAAGAGAAAGAAATTGTCATGGAAATTTTTCTCCTCTTTTTCATCGGCAATAGAAAAAGGATGGCTTCGCAAATGTTCACTCGTTCAAATTTTTTGACAATCCACCGTTTCAAATTCACGATGGATTTTTGAGCAATTTTTACCGTTTTTATTTCATACTTAAGAACTGCCAGATTAAATATAAGAAACGCGCGGTGCGATGTAAAATCGATTTTGGAAATTTATTTAGACGAAATGAACAGTATGGTTTACGCTTTCACGCATAATGGTGTGAGTCTCAGTAAAAGTGAGTCACGAGTGAGTCAAAAGTAATGGGAACTTCTCCGAATCTAAAATAAAAAAAAACATAAAAGGTCTATCAAAAGTTGTTACTGAAATAATAATATAATTTTCGTTCGAGAGTGCTATGCAAACGATTATTCTTTGGTACACAAACAAAAGACCTTCGAGTCACCTTGAAACATTGAGCAAAGTAATCTTTCCTCTAATATCACTTCTTAAACTGTTACACGAAATAATACACAGTCATAACAGTACAGACTACATTACTGAAAAGATTTGTAAAAAAATATAGTTCCACTTTTCAATGCAAAAATTCCTATTGCTTTTGCCTTAAAAATATCACGTAAAAGAGAGAGAGAAAAAAAAAGTAAAAGGAATAGTATAATAAAAATATCTCTCATTGAAAATATTTAAAAAATTATACGTATAAAAAATATGTCTGTCCAATTCGTGCATGATAAAATTAAAATGGAGAGGAAAAAAAAGAATATGAATTATAGTTAATGAAGATGAATGCTTACTTAAAATACATACTACATGTACTCATTAATGATGAACACGGACGAATCAGAGATCAAGTTTGAAACAACGTACCTACTGAATCTCCATCAGGTAAAATTTGTTAGCACTTATATACAGAATTATTCTACAAATTTTCATAACCATATTTATTGGCAGTATGCTATTACTTGCTACTGGTACTCGCTCTGAATTTATCGTAACGGCAGATTGGCATTGTGTCCTTCAACACTACTGATTACTTATTATCGTCTAAACATACCCCATTCTAAGTGACAAACATGCACACGGAACTCGAACTTGTGGAGAAAAAGAAGGAAACAGAATCTTTCATTGAGAGCCACAATGAGAAACTCGAGTTCAGTGACCTACAGTCGGCTTTCTTTCGTGATCGTAGACTAGAATCCGTAAACAAACTATTTCCTTTAAAGTTAGTTTAAATAAGACAGATGATGTACTCTTACACAAGTTGCCCTTTTCGTTTCAAGTTAGCATGTTGATACTTTTCATTTTCATTTATCTTATTATTAGACTCACTCAGGCTGGCGGACCGTTGTTAGATATTACTATTTCATGCAAATAATGGAATTTAACTATGGTTCATAGTATGCTCGCTAAAAATATAAGGTACTGCTCATTGAACACTAACAACATTCTTCTATAAAATAGAAAAAAAAATAGCTTCAAGTTTCAAGTTCCTTCAGAAATTAATGGATGTTTAATGACTCGATCACCGCCGGTTATCATGAAAATTTATTTATCCATCATTAATGGAAATTCATTTGTAAATTGCACCTCAGTCTCCTAGTGCTACCTTCCTTCTCCAATGATTTTAATTTTAATTCTACAATACGTTCCAATTCCTAACGTACGCCTAATCAATTTTCTATTTTGTGCTAACCCCGACGCTCCCACGTGAACAGCCTTTATTGCTTTGGATTTAGACGAGCTTATTTACGACTAAGACGGCATTAAGTACCTTGTATTCTGAGGCAGAATCTCGTTCATGTTCACTGCCTGCTGCTGCAGCACGTTCGCCTCCTTCATCGCTTGCTCCTTGAACGAGGAGAATGTGTGGATCAGATTCTGATCCTTCTGGAGATTCTGGATGTACTGCAGGAAATTAGGCTCTTGCTTCATGAAGCCTCCATCTTTCAACACGAAACTCACTTCTTGTTTAGGCATTGCAGGAACCTCGGGAGCCTTTTCGAAAGATTCTTTTTGCTCCACGAAAAATGAATCTTTCTTTGTCCTATTCCTTCTAATTCCTAGATGCGTTTGAGTATGTTTGTTTAAGTGATCCTTCCTAGAGAAGGCTTTCTGACATACCGAACACGAAAAATTCTTATCGCCAGAATGAATAACGTAATGCCTTGTCAAGTGTTCGTTTCTTTTGAACGCTTTTTGGCACACTGGACATTTAAATGGCCTCTCATCTGAATGACCACGCATGTGTTGATCGAGATGCTCCTTTCGTTTCAACATAGCGCCACACTCTTTGCATTGATACTTGCGTTCCTGTAAGATGAAGTTTATATCAGTTTAATATATTTATTTTCAAAATTGAACATATTAGAACATATTAGAGAAGAGAGTAATACGTACCTGTATGTGAGCTTGTATATGTTGTTCAATTTCCGTCTTATCCGGGAACGCTAAATTGCATTCTGGACAGCAGTAAAGCGTTGAACCATCCAGAGCGACGCTAATTTTTATCTCGCCGGTTTTCGCTCGGAATTTCATTTTTTTCTCGGTCTTTGGCGAATCTGTTTGTATTTGTTGCTCAACTTTAACAGTCTGTACTGTATTCTCATTTTCTTGTGGATTTTCTATTTGAACATTTAGATCATTTGGATTTATGGACACTAACAATTGATCCGTATTCATGAAAGTATTGTTTCCATTCTGTAATTGAGTATTTCTGAATACTGGAACACTAGGAATGTTAAGAATGTTGTTCTGTGCGTGCTCCACTTTTTCCTCTTCAGTCTTTTCTTTTTTCACCTGCTCTGTCTGCAGTTTAATCAATTGTTGTAAAGTTAATGGTAGAGTTGTAGCTTGCAACTTTTGAAAATACTCTGCCATGGCACTTTGTTGTTGAAGTTGAACGTGTGAATCTTGCTGGAATATCAACTTTTTGTTACATAAAACTATGTAAATTTCTCAATAGATATATAGTTTACTAGAAGAAAAATTCCATACCATTGTAGACATTTGTTTCTCATTCTCAGTCCTTGTTTCTAACTCTGGTTTTATGTTCTCTGACTGCGAGGTTGATGGCAAATACATATTAGGTATAATTCTTACTGGTAAACTATTTGACTGAACACTGAGTATTGGGCTATTTTGATTGTAATTAGGAATGTTAATAGTCTGAATGCCTTGCTTCTCACAAAGCTGCATCAATGTGTTTGGATCTGGCCATGCTAATATTGGCCCTGTGTACTTGTTAGTCGTATTCACCTGAAAGAATATAAACAATTAAATAAATAAAGTATATCCGAAACAAATATAACGTAGTAGTAAATCTTACCAGCAAACTTTGTTTCGTCTGATTTGATCCAACAGCGGTTGTATAAACAGTCGTTTGCTCTACTTGAGTATTATCGCCACTAGTAAATTTTGACGTCGAAACTACGTTCGATCGAGATGTTAATTCCGAAAATTGCGGAAGAGAACCTTGAATCGTATTATTCCCGGAAAAATCCATTTTGCCGCAAGTAGACGTAAAAGGTACGCGCGTTTGTAATTAAAACATGCGAGCGTTTATAACCTATAATATAATGCACGCGTAACGAACGAGCAAATTAATCGTAACTACGTTTTTAGTTTCATATTTCTCACGGCGCGTGGAAAAGTAAACTAATATCGAGACGAAACATCGACGGAAAACACGAGACGGCTAATTAAATTAAAAAATACTTCTCGAGCGACGGTACATTGTAACGTACGCCGCGTCCTACGCGTCGCTCCAACATGGCTGTATTAAAGTACTATTTTCAAAATTTCATTGTATTCGTAAGAAAAATGGAAGTAATTCTTTGAAAATATATTTAAGACATACTCTTTCTTGCATAGTTTAATAAAATTTGTATCATTTAAAAAGTTAAAACTTATCAATAAATTATATTTATTTAATCTTAAAAAAATTTTTGAAGAAAAAAATGATTTTTATTATCATGGTAAGCCTGAACTACGTCTTTCTGTTTACAGTAGACGCTTGGCAGACTTCAAATGATAAAATAAAAATAAACATTTTGTTGTGATATTTTATAGTTGGAAGTTTATGTATTAATGATTTAGGAAAGTTGATTTAAAGAAAAATAGTTAATGGTTTAAACAGAACACAGGTGTACGTAGTCAAGCAACGTCAATAATAGAAATTAATTTTCTTAATTTACCATTATTTAATAGTTTGCACTTGAAAATATTACAAACAAAATTCATTATTAAATATAAAATAAACCTTAAAGAATAATATGTATTTTATTTGTATTTTAAGTAAAACTTCTTTATATCTCAAGACATAAAATTTTCATTTAATTAATAGGTAAACATGTGATCTTATGGGTGACAGCTTAAACGAACGGATAGATAATTTACGTAAACGAAGCAAACTTTTATTAGCACAAATAGATAAGAATTCTAAAAAAGTGAAAGACGAATTTAAAAAGTTTAATTCCCAAAATTTGTAAGTATTTAATATTATATTTCATATAACAGCACTTTATAAACTTACATATTTTGATTTTTATATCTAGGATATTAAAAGAAAATTCTAGAAATCATGGTAAAATAAATTTACCACATTCATTAATAAAGAAGGATAACAAGTCATGGAAATTACGAAATGATTCATCTGGAGTTGGTGGAGCCTTGCGTTCAGATTGTTTTTGTAACAGTCCTAATCAGACATCTGCATCAATGTCTAATACATCAACAGCAAAGAAGATATTAACATCTTCCAAAAAGCATTTTGAAAATCAGTCTTCTTTGGAAAACATTTACAGAAAACCAGTGAAAGAATGTTACTGTAATACTGAAATTAGAAAAGCACAACATAAATCAACAAGAACACAACATAGACCACGTTCTCCTTGTAAAAAATGTAGAAGTCATATCAATTTTCCTGCCATAACAATAGAAGATAATTTTGAAAAGTCAACTTTAAGTTCACCTATTAGTTGTGAAACTTTAAGAAGAGTTCAAAAGATAGATTATGCACCCAAATCTCAATTTTTGCGCAATGTTACAAGCAGAGTTTCTTTGCTGCAAGCAGCAACAGGTGACTGTCCAGACACATGTTTCAGATCACAATGTTATCATGAAATGATGGCCAAAAAGAATGTACATGATGTTGGTTCTATACATCAGTTGAAAGTTGATAAAAGGTTAGAAGCTAATCATCATTCAGCAACATCTACTCTCACAAAGTCAAAAATCAGTGAAAAATATTCAAGTTCTGGAAATGAAAGTGTAGAAAAATGTAGCAAAGGAATTCAAGTATCTTTGAAAAAGCACTCAAAACCAAAAGTAGTTAGAAGAACCCTTTCTTCTAAAGCATCTGTACCTGACATTAAAAAGACTAAATCTAGTTCAAAAGTATTAACTAAGAGTAAAAAACCAGTATCTAGCAAAGAATGCCAGTGTTGCCATAAAAATATGCCACAGCAATCCAAAGCTGTTTCAGAGGAAGAGGATTCAGAGAAGTATAAAGATTCAGTTTGTATAAACAAATTAGAAAACGAAATTGGCAGAGAACATGTCTTTGATAGAGAAATGAGAGAATTAAAGAAATTTCGCGAGCAAAACTATTTTGATACCCATGGATCCAGTCATACCTTATCATCTAAATCTTCTGGCTCTCTAGAACAATATTTATTAAATGACAGACTATTTGCTGAGCCAACAAAACGAATTCATAAAAAAGACCTAGTCGTAACAATGCCACCTTGTGTAACTACACAACTAAAACGGATGCATTATTTCCCTAGATATATTGTTCGCCAAGAGAAAAATAATCTCAACGTGAATTACAAAAAGAAACGCTGTCAAACGTGTCCTCTGACTGGCCACGCGATTGATCTTGGTGTTACAAAAATAAGACCGCCATTAAACAGCTTAGCCCTTAAGTATCAAAAACGATTACCTTAATTCTAACTAACTTTTTATTACAATGAATAAATATACGTGTCTAAGGAGGAATAAAGTAAATGAAAATTTTGATCACTAACTTGATTTTAGACATTTTGTACTTTTTAGCATTAATACAAGGAATTTTTACGACTCAGTTTCGTTTACTTTATTCCAACTTTTTAATCTTTTTATACACTTTACAATACAAATTTTAATTGTAAAATCGAGACAAAGTTTTCTCTGTAAAAATTTTTAACAACGTGTCTCCGAACATGTTAGCATCACGAAAAAGCGTACTTTGCAGCAAATCATAGTTATTGATGTGACTTGACTTCTACTAATCTATCCCCAATTGAATGAAACATTAGGGAAGTCATATACTGATTTAAGCAAGAGGAAAGAAAGAAAGGATAACGCATAAAAGGATATATATATACATGGTGAGCTACGTGATCTCGTTCACGAGCAGTACGTCTCGTATAATTCAGCACTTTCCACGGCCATGATGAACCGTCGACCTCTAGCGAGTTGAAGTTTGCTGAATGCAAATTTCCATTGAGCAAACGATGTGAAACTGTGAAGTTTTTTGAATGTAACCAAGTAAGACTGTTCGACGAAGTTTTCTATTATACAATTCTAAATCGTGTACAATTGTAAAAATATTTATTTGTAATATTATTTTACTGTGACTGTAATCTTTAAAGTGGACCAATAAAATTTTATTTATTTATATATATACAATGGCCTATATGACAGGTAACAATCTGTTCAAGGCATTTCAATATATATCAGCTATTGCGTTAACAATCCGAGAAGAAAAATGTCATTTCTTATTCCATTATATATTCAGATGACGTCTGAGAAAGAAGTCATAAAATTGTGGTCTCTTACGAACACGTTATGACCATGGCCGACAGATCTAACTGGTGCATGTACCTTTCGCGCTCTTCATCCTGTTTTCATCATGTTACGAAATTTTTTTATATAAATTGATCTTTTCTTAATTTCGTGAATTAATCGAAAAACTTTAACAAAAACATTTTACTTATGAACTCAAATACAAAAAAGGCTAGAAAATGTCTAGAATCTGACGAATTAGAAACGACAAGTTTCAATTTGAATTACAGACTCCTTTAATGACGATATAATTAATTTGCATGCGTCTACTTAAGGTAATTACAGAATCGCAGTAACAACTTAATTGCTGTAACTGAGTAATCTCTCATAATTTCACAGAATTTCTTTTTCAACTTCAGAGTAGGAAGTGTATTACACGTTACTTAAATTTCAAATAATTTGAATAAAAATTCTGATAAATAATGAAGAAATTACTTCACTGAATAATTAAGTTGCTAGAGAAATTTTTGCGATTAATTTAAACGGTTGCGTGTTACCTATTCCGACTACTGCTGTTGTTATAAATATTTATCCAGTCCGAGATTAATTAGAAATTAAATCGGACACTTGAATGTACACTTATAGATAATAGAACATAATGGAGTGCTGACAGATACTAATCGAAAGCATCTGCAATGGTAATTAAATATTCGTTTAAGGAGCATTGAACCTGTCAAGCTCCGCAAGTCGGTAGACTCATTAAATATCGATTCCAGAAAAGAATTAACTCCAACGAAGAAATACCTGACGTTCGTGAAACTGGTTTCTCGATTTCCCAACTGGCGAAAAGTTGAGAAATAATGAGTTGCTTGTCCCAAAAATTTTCGACCGAAAGGAAAATATATTCGTCGATTTGTGCTCACGAACCTATTCGTAATACAAACTTCGAATTCTAAAACCCAATTTGCTCTCGTCCAAAAAATTTGATATTCTACGAATCGTTGTATCTTAAATCTTAAATTTTCCAGTTTATTTCTGTATTTCGAATTTTTAACGTTTGCTACTATTGATGCACGGAAGACTTCGCCAAAAAGAAGAGAGATTCGTTATTTCCTGTTGGGAATCTTCGTAGCTTCCTTCCCTTTATTTTCCTTCTTTTTTTTCAAGAGGTGCCATTGTAAAAAGCAACCAGCATTGTTGCATAAATTGACGATAGAATGTTCGTATTTACTTCCTCGTGATTCATCTCATCGTGAATACTTCAACGATCGTTTTATCTCGTTAAACGACAGCGAAACATGAAACGAGAAGTGCACTCGAGACTCGTCGCCCTTGTGGGTATCATTGAAGCCATTTTTCCATCTCAAAGGACCCCAAATATCTCTTTCGTTCCTTATAAATCTTTCGCAAACATCTCCTTTCTTTTCCTCCAAAAAATCAGAGCAAACATACGCACACACGACCAGCATCCGACTCTACAGGAATTTAAATTTTGTCTTTGGGGTGCCATTTTGATGATGTCCCTTAATGATGGTATCTTCGTGAATAACTGTAGCTTCGCCGTAGCTAGTTTCCACGCTCATTTTCATTCGCTGAAACGTGAGAAATTAATTAAGAGATGGCATCGAGAGATTTATGATTTTAGAATAAACGTGAACGCTAGACTTAAACGAAAGTTCGGGGCCTAAGGGCTATGAACGATGGCAAGGCAAAAGAGAGCAACGAACGAGTGAAATAAAATGGCCGACCTTCGGGTTGTCCATGAAGATTTTTATCAAGCAGAAACATTAAATTAGCCATTCGACTTTGAATTTCTTGTTCAGTTTCTTTTTCCTCCTCAATGCGCAAACTGTGTACACTGTAATGGTAACGTCGATCGTCGTTATTCGTTAATTGGGTTCAAGCATACGGTGCTTCTAAATCGCAGATTTCTTTCCTGTAAATTGGTCACGAATGGATAAAGCAATTTTCTGTCGTTACTCTTGTTTCCTTCTTACATCCTTTGACTTTGACATCTTCATTCCAAGCTGGAACGATGTATTAACTACCATTGTGATATCATCTGAAAATATTATTTACATGAACATTCGGCTGAAACAGATGTAAATTGTGTCATTATTCGGATGTAAAGAACTAGGAAAGATCAAAGGATATCTGACTCAACGCAAACCGATTATCCTCATTGGAATAGCAAATAAATGGCATTACGTCTCGCAGCGCAAATTCGCCAATAATGATTTCTAATTCCTATAATTATTACATAATACTTCTGAATTTTCTTTCACGTCATTCCCGCATGTAATTGACGATAAAGTGAATCAGAGTAGCAAATGTTCAACGAGCAACGATAAATTAAATTTACCGTATTTCACCTTTATTTTTTTGTATTAATTGCCATTGAAATCACTGTGTAATAAAACTTGCATTTATTCATCAAGGCACATTCAATCGGGATTTAAATATGGCGGTCGTAAAAGTTATGGATCTGTTCGCCTGTCTCGGACGATTGTAAATTTCATTTAAATTTCAAATTCGTCAACCATGAGCAATTGTCGGACTGCTTTGTCGATTCTGCAATTATTTAAATAACCCGTGGAACGTGTTAAACGCCGTTTGAGAGTTTATAGCTACTACTAATTGCAAAAGCTAATGACGTATTTTGGCCATTCCTGTTTCCCGTCATTTTTTCCTTTTCGTTTATTTCAACGCGGTTCAACTGCGTTAAAGCCTTCTCGAGTATCGTCGATATTCGTGACACGAAGATTCATCGTTTGATTTAAAATTATCATTCGTTCCACGACACGGAAGAACTGGATTAAAATCTATTCTGGAAAACGTTCGAACAATCGATTTGATACGAATTAATCAAGATCCTCGGCTGGAAAAATCGATCTTCGCTAAGCAGCGATCGTTCACGTTGATCACATTATTCAACTCTGAAGATTTATTGCGAAGCTTTTTCATCTACATCCATCAAAAATATTGGATATTTATTGATTCAATTAGCGAGGAAAAAATTTATTGCATCACCTCATATTTTAGACTAATCACTTAATAGATAGGTTCGTATATTTGAAATAAATGTTATAATAGGATAATTTTATTATAAATATTATAAATATTTCTTTCTTAATTCTATAATATAATTATTCATGATATTTTATAATTACGTCTCCCTGATCCTAATTATAAATAAAATTCTCAACTGACCTCGAAGTGGAAGACGTATAATCTTCATTCTGGGGCCATTTTGTGAGACTAATTTAAAACGTGATTTGATATTTAAAAATAATGTAATTCTGTAGAATTACAAATATCTTACCTTCGAAATGTGAAATATATCGCTTTCCAAAGTTGTTTAATAACTTCTTAAATATTCCTTAGACCTTGTGTCCAACAGGATCACCTTCCCACTGGTATTCGTACCATATCTACTGCTGGTTTTATAATTAATTTAAAACTAGTGTTACAATTATCAATAACAATCTTCATCTTATACGCAGGGTTTGTACCAGAAGATCTTCCAAGGCAACAAAATTCTCAGCCTTTTTCAAATTTTTATATTTCTAGCTCGTATGAAAGGCATGATAATTTCGAACTTTAAGTCAGTAATAGACATAATTTGAAATTGTACGTGTTTGGAGATCAGTGAACCACGAAGCAGCCCTCGACGACCATGAACGTGTAACCTTAGTCGTCTTCGAGAAAGCCATGTGCATATGTAATCGACCATTCACATTATATGAAGGTTGTGCCGTATGAATGTGTTCCTCGATCATTTGATCGTGATTGCAAGACGATCACAAGACGGTCACAAGACAAGACTGATCGTTCTGCTTTAAATCTCCTTCATGCTCTGAAACAGTCAACTTGTGTTTAGATCAGTAACATCGAGTATCATTTTGACATTAATCATGTCAAAAGAAAAATGTTGATACTAAACGATGAAAAAGTATAATTTATGAATGATCGGATGAGTATTCATAATGCACAAATTTTTTATCGTGAATAAAATTTTTGGTGTATAAGGAAAGGGAATAACAAAAAGATAATTAATAAGTTGAACATGTCAAGCATAGTGACAAGATTGTTTGGAATTTGTGAACGATGCTAGGATTGTTTGTCAACAGAATTTCTGAGTAAACAAATAATTTTAGGCAATGCAGACATAATTTGGTACTGATGACTAAGAGCATAATTTTATATGAATAAAGATTAATGCAAGGAAGGAGTGGAAGTAATAGAAGAGTGATTTCTAGTGAAGAAATAACGATTTAAAACTTGGGAATATAAGGGTAATTTGAATTAAATTAAAATTCGAATTCCTTGAAAAAGGAAAATTAAAGTTCTATCAAAATCTCTTAAACTTTGAATTGATATTGAGGCGAAAAAACAATAATTTAAGAGGACAATTTGATTTTAAATTTGTATTTAAGAAATGGAACAGTAATGTTTAAAATGATTAAGGTATACGTTCTAAGAAGAAATTAAAATCAAAATTCTATTAAAATCTCTTAAACTTTGAACCGGTATTAATAACTTTCTACCCCTAACACTTTCTACTTAACGATACCATCTTCCAGACGAAGCACTTCGTTATCGATCTTCACATATTTCCTCTTTAACGTAACTCGCTAATGAAGAGAGCTTTTACGAGACTTCAGTCGGTCTTTTTTCATCCAGACATAATTTACAGCCACGATCTGAAGCTGTCTTTAAAGGACAATTTTCATAATGCTTAAGAAACACATTTCCTATTGTGCTCATCATCAAATGTTACGTCTTTTCATATGTACACCCATAGTCGTCTATGGTTGTTTTCCTCCGATTCGAAGCCAGGCATGCAGGATGACTGTTAATGGCGTTACGAGTCTTTCAGAATCCCCTTGTTGTTCCCTTTGTTCTCCTAAATGGCCGCTGTTCACTTCGAACAATTCCGTCTCGGCCATCTGCGAGACTTTTGACTCGAGTTTCGTATTTAAAATGCAGACGAATGGGAAAATTTTGTCTTTCATCCAATATATTGGCACTGCTTTTCATAAAATTTTGCCGAACATCGAGCTAAAATATAATAAACATTACTAGAGTATAGTTACATATGGCTCTATAATATTTTGCTGACAATAGGTAATAAATTCTTTTGTCGAAAATACAAGCCAAGTGTTTTGAATATTTTAGTAAATTTATACTGACTTTTTCTTTTTTCAATATACGAGTAACATCTAAAAGGAACATAATCCATAGGTAGGAATATAAGAATATTATGATACACGGCCTTACAAAGGATGTGATATAATATTTTCTGTATAACTCACGGAATAACATCTTGTAAAGCAAAGTTTCTATTAAGTTAGATGCAGATAAATGCATTAACTTCTGCCTAATGTATTTATGCTTTATAAATAGAAGTTTAATGAAAAAACGATATAAATAAATCCTTAGAAATCCTATATAAATATTCAACAACTTTAAAAATAAATTATCTTATCTACAGTACTTCAGTCTTAATGCAAGATTGTGATATTTGACTATAACAAATTCATTTTACCATAAAATCCTATAAAAAGTTGTTACATTAATTTATCCTAATTAATATATTATTTATCATAAATATAATTCTTTTGTAACTCCTTTGGACATTAGACAAACATTCATCGATTCATTGCAAATATTGGTAGTTAAAATAGATCAACAAGTAAATGAATAAAGCCAATAGAGCGCTATAAAGGACACAAAGGACTCGTCCCCAACTAAAGCTCTCATGAAGCCAGTTGTTCCCCTAAATGCAAAAAAAAGAGAGTGCAGAAGAAACAAGGGACAAACGTGCATATGCAAAATACTTTTACTTTCAGAGTAAACGCTTCCAACGTGTGGATATAGCAACTACTCTGACTGCATTCGGCCGAGAAACAAGCAACTTTCCATCTCTCTACTCCAAACATTATCAACATCATCCTTTAAACATCTAGTTCCTATAACAAACCAAAAAGAAAAAAAAAAAAATTATAGAAAACAACAATAAGAAAATAAACTATCTTAAGTAAAATATCTAAGATATTTAAATAACGTACGTGCAAGAATATCATAAAAAATAAATCAATATAAAATGGCAATAAAAAATAAAAACAATAATTTAGAAGAGAAATAAAAAAGATAGTTTACATTGGAATTCTCCATCAATAAAAATGAAGGAAAGAATGTGAAGGAAGGAGCATGAAAGAGATGCATAAGAGGAGGGATAGAAGGAATTACAATTCACATCCAGAATCCCATTTCGTGAACGAGGGCACGTAAACCGTGATTTAAATGCAAGATTTTCCATCATCGTCTCCATGATAGCGCAGTGAATCATCTGCAGCGTCTTGAGCCCGTGTGTCACCGTCCCTGTGCCCTGACATATTATTCAAAAGATCCTTTTTTTTGCATAATCTTGCGGGAAGAGGCACGCGTACCTGGCTGGCCAAGTAGTGGGGCGATCCTGCTGCTTAAATAGACTGCATCAATGACCGTTTCTTCCAGTTCACATTCAGCTGTACGAAGAAATTTTCATCCGGAGAAAAGACCACTTGTGGGCTGCTCGTCGAAAACATTGAACATGGGCAAATTATCAACAGCTGGATTTTTCGTCCTGGCAACGATATTGGCTGTGGCCTTTGCCATGGATCTGCGTAAGTAGTCTTGATACTTATTGTTCAATCGACATCTGGTTACTGATGATCCTTCTTCATTATCGATGAGTTAAATTGTACGTGGTTAATCGTGATCGTAGACTTTTAAGTTACAAAGACAATACATCAGGCGATCCATTCACCTTTTCCTTTAAAAATAAATTACTAAATGTCCATCTTAAAACCTCCTTTTTCGTCTAGCTTCCACGTGAGTACTTGCTCCCAGCATGCACCTGATACCAAAAAGAGACACTACGTGTTAGAAATATTTGCATCAAAATTGAATCTAACATTACTTAAATAGGGCATATTGCTGTTAATATACATATTTTTTTTTTTTTAAATGGTAATTATGTGGCATGTACATACAATTGCATATGGATTCAATGAAGCGTCGATATTAAGGTTAATGTCGATGAAGGAAAAATTTGTGACGTCAGTAAACAAGGATGACGTCGTAAAAACAGTGAGATTTCCGCGAATCGATAGATGAAAAACCATTACAGACCATTGAAGCATGGTCTGAAAGAGAAAGTCAATTCCAAGCTTCAGTTCGGCTTCGTAACTGGTGCTGCACTTTATTGGATCCACTGCAATGCAGCAATCGTTTACGTAATGTCTGCATGCGACATTTTTTTTCATTTCATTTCCTTTTTAAATTTAATTTTTTTTTTTTTTTTTTTGCTTGTAGCAAACAATTGGAGAACATGTGACAGATCGCTACCGGATGATGCATACTACAATTGTATCGCCGAAGCTGCTCAGGATGCCGTGGTTTCATTGGCTAGAGGTGAGAATGATATTTTTCATTAAAAAGGCACAAATTATTTATTAATTTCAATTTCAAATTTATCATTATTTAGTTGTAATTTTATAAACAAACATTATTCAGGTTTTGTAGTTTTTAATATTTAAATTTAATTCTATCAGTGGCCATAAGAATTTTATTAGTGAAATTTTCTTGTATTAATTAAAAAATTTAATTGGTAAAACTTGTAGATATTGTGAAAATAATGTGGACTACAAATTCTCGAGTTTAAATTATTATGTTTTTGTTAAAGTAATGCAGTTGTTACATTTAGAATAATGAATATATTGATGCATGTTCTTGTATCAAGCGTTTACTTCTGCTATGTAATTATTATCATGAAAAATAAAAAGAGTTTTCAATTATATAGTACATATATAATAAATTTTATTATTCGAAATTAATTATTCCATGTCGTTGAATCAATCTCGATCATCAGCGTAAGAAACAATTTACGTAAATAAAACGTATTAGAAAAAGAAAAAATCTTTTCGCGAGGTGATATAACCCACTGAAAATCATTTTCAACAAGAATCGTAAGTGGAGATATTACTTGACGAACATTCTAAAATCCTGACTGACCACTCGAATTATCACTATTACCATGAGGCCATAAAGTTACCGCTGAATAGTTGACATTATTTACCCGATTATATAACTATTGCACCTGACCGATTCCAATCTCCCTACTCCGCCGCGAATTTTCATTAAGAAACCCGTATTCGTAGTGCATTTATTATTAAACAATCATTTTCTTCTGGTATTTCCACTACATTTTTTGTATTCTGTCTTTTTAGTCCTGCAAAATTACAACGTCGTAAAATAATTAATAAACATTATTCTTTTCAAGAAATTATTAGTTATATGTGTACATATTTATTTTTCTATCATTTATTTTAAATAGCATTATTTTATACTCAATTCTCTACCTATTTCTTGGTAAAAAATGCAGTATTATGAGATTGCAGATTCTTTAATGTGTTAAAATATGTTATTAAGTCAAGAAGAGAGACCTTTGTCACTAAACATATGTTCTTCACACTTTATAATCATATATACCTAATGCTGTAACATTTACATGTTCTAAAAAAAATCCAACAAGTATTCACAAGTATTCTTCTAACAAATTGAAGATCATTTCTCTATCTGTTTCTTTACTTTCTTCTTTGTTCATGATTAATTACAAGTAGCAGCAAGTAATCTTCCATTAATTCCACCTAAACAAACATTTAAAACAACTTCAACACGAGACATCGTTTACTATTATTTCTTTATTTTTCTAAAAATTTACAACAGTTCCATCTTTTCTTAAAAGAATGTATGATAAAATAGACATCGTTATTTCCTTCTTAACCCGCAAAGAAAATACATTTCGTCCAATTTTCTTTGTTTAATATAAGAAAACATACTTTACCATCTCGATCAAAGAAATCTCAATAAAAACATTCTCCACAACAAAGGGAGATCGATCAAAACAAATCCTAACCTCTCTATCCTTTTCCACTTTAACACAATTTTCGATTAGATCACAAACTAAAGCGAACAATTTCCCATTGATTTCACTGCAGCAATACCCGACGTGTTTCCTCGAAACTGGAATTAATTTTTCCAATAAAATCATGTCTTGCAATTTATAGAGGTTCTCCTTGATTCATCTGGTCGCCCCTTCGCTTTCCGAGCTCTCGATAAAAGTTCCACCTTCAAACCACTGCCGATCGATTTCTTAACGTGCGACCGTCGATATATTCGTTTCCTGTTTCCGCCTCTAACCTATGTTGTGAAATCTTTGAAATAGTGAAAAGGTGTCGTTCCAACACGTAAAACGTTTTTTCTATCGCTCACACCTGCAACAGAAAGAACTTTCATGTAATCATTTCTTATAATTAGTTCTTTGGCAGGTTTGGACACCGTTTGAAAGTACTTTACCGAAAGGAATTTCGCTAAACATTCGTAAGGAATATTAACGATGCATTTACTCTGTAGGTCTAAAGAGCTTCAAGATTTTACCGATTGAACCACTAGCTGTGGACAATTTGAAAATTGGTGAATCGCAAGGATCGGTCGCTTTGAGACAGGAATATAAAAATATTAAGATACACGGTCTTACAAAGGATCTGAAAGTCAAGAGTTACCAGTAAGTTGAAACGTTTAATTGATTCACGATTAGGTTATATTCGGGTTATGAAAATTTGCCGAATGCGGGCACAATAACGCGATGTTTAATGAAGTGGCAAGGAAAATATGCTATTGTCTGAAACATAACTCAAACCCTATTTTAATTTATAGATGGTAGCATAAATTTAATTTTCTCATTTCATGGAAAAGAATCTTTTATACTAAAAATTGTAATAAAAATTCTTATGGGAAGAAAGAAAGAAATAGATAATAAAGGGGAATAATAATGAAAAGCTATCAGAGGCCAGAAAACATTTGGAACATTGAAAGAAAACGTGCGAGAAACACGTGTGATTAATATTAATGATTGCCTTTTAGCATCGACTGGGATAAGTGCTTGATATCATCGGATACATTCTCTCCTCAAGTGGACTTCGTCGCCGATTACAAACTCGATGGAAAAGTGTTACTTCTGCCTATTAGAGGATCTGGACGATCAAATATCACCTTATGTGAATATATTTACACTTTATCTATTTATTTATAACTTAATAAGCTAAAGGTAATTTTATTCAACTAATTTTAGACAACTTGAATTCGCACAACGAAATAAGGTGCGAGAAAATCCAGAAGAATGGGGAAACTTACTTGAGAACAAAGAAATATGTGGTAAAATTCGACCCTGGTCGAGTAAACTTGGTCTTCGACAATCTTTTCGAGGGTGACAAGATCCTAGGTATTTATCAAAAATTACTATATAATACCAACTATCGGTAAATGCGTATTTATCGAAGTTAGAAAATATGGTAATATTCTAGAAAAATTCTAATGCACGATTTTCATTCTCAATGCATCGTGACTTGTTTCTTTTTTCCTTTTTTTTGCGTAAAATTGTACGAGAAATCCACTCATTAGAATCGTTATTTGTGGAACGAGCTTCAATAAGAATGATCGTTATTCTACTCGCAAGAAAGAAATATGATCTTGGTTATCTAGCGAGGTCATCGTTTCGAATGAAAGAAGAATAATGCATCGTGCGTGACGTTTAGTTTGTGCAACATTGCCCGTTTGTAAAATATCGTCGATCTCACGTTAGATTAGTCACGGCTGCATAGAAATTCTGTAGTAATACAAACGTCTTTGTTTTCGCCATTCTACGTCGACCACAATATATATCTACGACATTCTGATTAATTCTACGTTAGGTGTGGTTACGTTAACCTATGTATAACAGGTCGACTTAAATTTTATATATATCATTTTTTTTTATATCATAACTTGTTATTTAAATTAAGCTGGTTTCGACTTTAATTTTATGCTGCAAATTATAGTTGTACGCGTTGAATGAATTAATAGAATCGACGAATAAAGAGGTTATAATTTAAACTGATGTAACCTCGAAAAATCAATGATCTGCCAACAAACTTCGTCAAAGTTGAATTATGATTTTATTACTACGTACGATATTTTGACTTCAAATTATATTTTAATGTTACATAATAATTATATTTTAACGTTTTATTTACCGTTTTATCTACTTCCTTTTTTTTTCTATAGGAGAGCAAATGAACCGTTTCATCAATGAAAATTCTGATCTAATCTTCAAGGAACTCCAAGGCCCTTATGAGGAAACTTTCGGTCTAATTTTCGCCAAAGTCAGCAATGACGTTTTCAGTCGCGTGCCAATGAACAAAATGTTCCCTACAACGTAAATCTCGAATAAATTTTTATAACTTTATCCGCATGCAAGAATAACGAAGCGTTTTTTCACGAGGAAATGCGAAAAAGGAGATTTTGTGGATGTGCCAAAAATTTGTACATACAGTACGTGTAAAAAATTTTGACTACAGCAATAGATATTGATCTTGTTATTGTAATATAATGTACATTCTTTCTTTTGTTTAATGGAATAAAATTTCTACCAATCTTTATACTTTTGTTCTGTAAGTCACTTAAATTTTTGTTCATCCTCGTTCAAATTTGTAAAATTCGTAAATTTCTTTTTAATACCTTCTGTTCTTTTACGAATAGTTTCATTTGCCTTGATAATGAGAAGCATTGTAATTAACGTTTCGAATTATCAAGATCTTCATTCGGTAACAGGCGAATTTTTGTTCAAATAAAGACCTTCATTTCTTGTATAACTGGGATCGTGCATATTTTTATATGAAACTACATTAAATCTTTTAACTACACTAAGAATAATTTATTGTCACTCCTTTTCTAATGTCAATTGAAACTCTAATGTTAATTTCATTTCTTGGTGTCTTTATGACTTCTTTAATGCAGCAAGGAAGGAGGGATAATATACAGAAATAAGAAATCATTGATGTATACAATATAAAATTTTTATTAACCGTAAAAGAAAAAATTACTAGAATATATTAAGTGAAATTACAATGAAATAATCTACAAAGATATAAAGTAAATGCAGTCCTGAGTTTTGATTTATATTCACTTTAATAGTTACACGTTACATGTATATGTTTTCATGTACTGTTTTATACTAATCGTAAAATTATAAAAAATTTCCTTAAATCACATATAATTTGAAACATTTTCGTTATTCGGTGCGTAGATACGAATGACCTTTTAATATAAAGTTGTCAACGAATGCACAGCTACCTGTCTTTTAAGAAAGTAATAAATTTTCAAACGTTTTTATCTTTCGTGCAATATATATTTTTAACCAAAACTACAAATGAAATAAAAATATTTTTACATATATATACGTAGCAAGGAAATTCACGTTATGAAGGTACGAATGCAGTTCTACTTCATAAAACATGTATCAATTATCAAATTTATTATTAGTAACAAATTGTTCACAACGTAAATTTGTAACAAAAGTGAAAAAATTAATAAATTACTAGTTATTACAAGAATTCATAACGTAAATATGTTAAAATGTATCGATGATTTACAAAAAGTTTATATATTATTATACCGATTGTCAATAACAAATTAAAATTATAAATATCAAATTGTCCGCAATGTATACTTATAATACAGGTGAAAAAATTAATAAGTTATTGACTATTAAAGCGGAAAAGTAATAAGAAATTCAATTGGTAAAGTTCGAAAATTTCCGTCAATCTTCCACGATCGGGGGCTATATAAGGGGCGACGCGACGGTACTCGACTCAGTCGCCGGTTTGCCGTCCGACGATGCAGATCGGGAGCCGGGGAACAACGGAGGACTACGGGGGATGGACAACGCGGGTCGACGAGGGTCGACGAGGGACGACGAGGGATGAGGCGGGAAGAACGACGCGGGTCGACGCGGGACGACGAGGGGCGACGAGGGACGCGGCGAGAAGAACGACGCGGGTCGACGCGGCACAACGAGGGACGACGCGGGAAGAACGACGCGGGAAGAACGACGCGGGTCGACGAGGGACCATGAGGGACGGACGACGAGGGACGGACGACGCGGGACGGACGACGAGGGACGACGAGGGACGACGAGGGACGGACGACGCGGGACGACGCGGAAAGGACGACGCGGGACGACGCGGGACGACGCGGGACGACGAGGGACGACGCGGGACGACGAGGGACGGACGACGAGGGACGGACGACGAGGGACGGACGACGCGGGACGGACGACGCGGGACGACGCGGGACGACGCGGGACGACGAGGGACGACGAGGGACGGACGACGCGGGACGGACGACGCGGGACGGACGACGCGGGACGGACGACGCGGGACGGACGACGCGGGACGGACGACG